ATATACCCAACTAAGCTATTTCCATTTCCATTTGGAAATACCTTCCCAATTTCTTGAAGCAATTACTCAGCTCAATTTAAGTAGGACGTTTATGAAGTACTTGGTGTTAAAAAGTAGAACGAATGACACATGATTAAAAGACATTGGTATTATAAACCTTGAGATAATAGTATGATGTTTTCTTGAAATCACGAGTCAAATTGTTTCTTTACTTTACCTACTTCCTAGATGTCCACTTTCATGCGTATTGCTGATTTGTATACAATATTTGCATTACTTGCATGCAACCAATGGTACCATTCTTTGATAATAAACTACAGCTTTTGCAGTTAAGGTGCTTTCATTGTTACGTTGTTGTTCACCATGTTCTTGATGATCTTCTTACCAATACAAAGTCAACTTGGCAGCAGTGTCAAGTTGATTGCAGTTATGTTATTAGAATATCACATTTTGTTTAGGTAATTTTCCATTTCATCGTGTTTTATTTTGTGGCCTTTGATTCAGTAACTGGTTTTGAACTTGGATTTACTGTGAGTAAAACAAACACAGTTGAATAAACTTTATTTCCAACAGATTTGTATGATATCGGTTTTTAAGCCTGCTGTAATTAATTTCTAGCATGTATGGAAACAAATTTCTAAAACATCTTATTTGACTCAGCATAGAAATTTTAATTTCTGTGCCACTCACAACAAGCCATCCTTTATAAAGGGTTTATAATTTGCAAATAATGGTTTATTAATCATCAAATCTTACATTAAGTCTTTATAAATCTGAAATTGGCCCCTAATAAAGGCAGCTTTTGTTCGGCTGGTGTGATAGTTACACAGTATAAAGTTTTTATATGTTTTAAGTATGTCTTTCTTTAAAGTTACTTAATAAGCTCTTAAGGCATGCTGTAAATTAAGTAACCAACTCTGGATTCTCTGCTGACTGCAACAGTGAATTTAATGCAACCAACCCTGAGAATCTCACTGCTCTATAATGGTTCAAAACACAAGTAATAAACATTAAAAACGTCTTTCTTAAAGTCTGATTTTAGGAAAAAGCTGAAGCCAAGTGAAAGGAACCAACAAACAAAAGACCATACAGTTGACAGTCAGTCAATCCACGGAGATAATACAGTATGTCAAGCGGTTAGGATGTGTTGTATCAGATTTCACCTAGGCCTTACAACAGGGCATGATTAGTTGCAGATTGCTACAACTCTGTGGAGTGTGGTGGGTCTTTTGGCATCTTCCTTACCGGCCTATTTCTTTGGCATGAAGTCATAATGTTTACTGCGATCTACAAAAGGATAACTGAGATTTTAGGATGAATGGAAAAGCCATGTATTTATTCTCCAGTGCCTGTTGTTTAGTTTTAGATATACTGTTTACATTCATGTTCCAACTGTTTTCAAGGAGCCATACATTGTGGTCTTCATCTTTATCTTGTATACCCCAGATTTCATTTTGTGTCTCTCAAGTCATTCATTTACAGCAGTGACATAGACAACTCATCATCTTTGTTCTGTCCTATGTTTCAATGTAGCTGCGGAGAGAAGCAAAAAAATGCTGGTCCTGCAGGGATGCAGGGGTTGCAGGGTTTTGCCGCAGCTTTAAGATATTTTCTGTGTAAACCTACCCTTCCAACTGTCTTGGACAGAAACCACACACGCCCCGACGATTTCAAAGTATTTTTTCAGTAAAGCTTCCCTGTGGAGCTTCAGTACAAACAGTTAAAGTTTCCTTAAGAGAGGACAGTACTGTTTCAAATAAGATACATTTCAGTCTGCATATTTGGATTGTCAGGGGATCATCCGTGTGCTCCTTGCCACCATTGTGGTTAAAAATTATAAAATTGTTGTAATTTTTCTAAAAGTTTTCTCAAGTGTTATTTTACAGCCAGTACTGAACCATTTTGAGAAGGATTCATGCAGGTTCATTGAAAGGTTTTGCATTTTGATCTACTGTTTTCCATCTCAACAGGTCACCTGAAAATGTTTTTTTTTTGAGAGGAATAAGAATTGTAGAGATTTATGTTCAGGTTTTGGCTTCTTCATGAGGGGGTTGTACAGTCGTGGTTGAGTGAACTATCTGTATTTTGAATATTTATGAAAAGTTATAACAAATCCACAATGCAGTCACACATAGTGTATTTGGAGAATTTGTGTTGTTTTAATTTAACTGTAGCTCAAAACAAGCTATTGTGCATGTAGTGTTGTATTATTGAGTATGGCCACTAAACTGAACCTAATTGTGCCTATGTCATCAGAAAAAGCCTTAAAGATCTGCTACTCATTATCAGTTCATACGTTCCAAAGAGTGTCCAGTGTCCATAAAGCAGGAAAGCCACAGTAGAAAATTCTCAAAATACACAAGTTTATAGTACTCTTTTTGTAATCATAAGATTTGAAATAATGCAGTGTCTGGTCTCCCAGGTATTTTGCTCTCATCCCTTTCCTCTGCTGTATATAGTAAAAGACAATAAAGAGATAACGGTCATCACTGCTGGAAATTACAGAAAATAATATGTTCCCTTGAAACTACTTTACACTACAAGCTCTTGTTACATCCTCTAAAATGTTCCTTGTGATATATGCACTGACACAGTGGACAACAAATCAGGAGCAACATTTCATAGTCACTGTCTTTGGGTGTGTACTTCACTTGTCACTTCTTTTTACAGTATCAATAGTGCATTTGCAGAGCTGTGCATTAACTGTAAAAACTAACCACTAATCCAGGTTGATATGTACCACATGTGCAGGAACTGCCGGTTTATTCTATGAGTGTTAGTCAAAAGGTCCTCATTAGAGCAGACACTATTTAAAGACAGTAGGTTAGTTGATTAGACATGTGGCATTCATAGTTATTATGTAAATGGATTCCAGATGTCTCATTTGATTCCTGCTAGGTGTTTAATCATATCCAGCTGTAAAGTTCAGTTATTCTTCAAATTTGACCCACTTACAGTATGTGAATGAAAGTCCGTAGTAGGCTTTCTATTAGTTGTTGCTGGGATGTAATTTAAATACCCAACAGTTCCCTGTGCCATCCAATACAAGTCAGGAGGTATTAGCTAGCAGTCTACTCACAACATGTTACATGTTTGTTTTAACAGCTTTTTTCACGTTTCACATGTTTTTATATGGCCATTTGTACCGATTTCCAATCCAGGACAATTTCCTCCTCTTCCTCCTGAGTCGCCCTTATTTAAATCCTGAGTGGAGCTCCTGCTGCCTGTGTCTAGACAATAAAGTCCTTTATAAAGCCTTAAGCCTCATGTCCTCCTGCTTGAGACGGTGAGTGAAAGTTAAATGAGCTGTTGCAGCCCAGCAGCCCTACTCCAAAGATCATCCTTTAGTGCAGACCATCTCTAGCTGTTCTGTCTCTTTATCTGTTTTTATTTATATTCTGTGTGAATCCACCCTTATCTGGTCTCTTTTCTTTAAAGATGTTCACTCAACTTAAACTTTTATTTGAAACTTTCTACCAGTTACTTGTACATTTCTATTTTTCTCACCCTTGTCCCCAAAAGTGTAGACATGGGCTCCAGATGTCCCATCTGTGGCCTTAATGCAGACACACACGGAACTGAGATGAGAAACAGGGCAAGAAGATGTGGAGTGGTGGCAGAAATAAAAAGTAAAAGACTAAAGTGTTAACCCAATCCATTGTCCAAAGTCATTCTTTAGATGTAGTAAAAGTACATTTGTGTCCTACAATAATGCATTCATATATTCTCCGCGATACATCCAATGGGAAGCCAGTGAGGGATCCTTGTCATCCTTGATGTGATCTTTGCAGGGAGGGGGCTAGCATGAACCTACTCAAAGTTCTTGGTAAACAGCAACAGAAGCAGTAGGGAAATGAACATCTGAAATTCGCAGAAAACAAAAAAAGTCTTTCAATCACTTGATATATTTGCTCTTTATTACACATCCAAGACAACATGACTAAGAGTCTACAGCCATGCTAGCAGCACTGTGAAACTGTACTTGGCAGAGCAGGGCTTTGAGCTAAATGTTAACTTTTGTTTTTTCATTTTTATTTATTTAGAGGTGTTTCACTGAGAGCAGTGCTCTTTTTATCCAGAAGCAAGTGCTACCTTTCCATCCAGATTTTTCCTGCAAGTCTGGGGGATTCAATCACCAACCACCAAGTTTCTCTAACCTTTAGGCCACAACTCTCTGATTACTGCAGCATGCTAACATGTTCACAATGCAAACATACTGATGTTTAGCATGGGTAATGTTTATCATGTTCACATTTTAGTTTAGCGTGTTAGTATCATTTATTCAGAGGGAAACGTGACGTCAAATTTCATAGCAATGCATCCAATAGTTGTTGAGACATTTCAATCTTTTGCCAGGTTTGTGAGTCACAAACCGGGTGAGTCACTATAAACATGTTTTAACTTTCAAATAAGTGGTTAACTTTAATTGTGGTCTGGAGCTCCTGCACTACCACAATAGACAGTGTTGTATTGTGAGGCTGCTTCTGGCAATGACCTGGTGTTAAGATTCTCTACTGTGACGTCAGTCAGTAATATATTATCAATGATAGGCATGATGGGAAAGACTACAAAAAGAGGATGTGGGTTGTAAAAAGAAAGGGAATTTTCCTGTAAAAGTTGGGTATGAATGTCTGAGTGCAGACCCTTCTAAACTCCTCTCTGACCTTACCTGACAGCCTAGTAAACACACCCCAAGGCCTGTGAGCTGAAATGAGCCATAAACTGGTCGTGCACCCATCCCCCAGGCTAATGGGTAAAGAGCAAATCCTCCATTGCAGACCAAATGGTTAAGTTGGGTGGAGTGACAGCAGTTTAACCCTCAAAACTGATGACTTAAGTTTCTACAAAAAAAAACTAAACTGACAAAACGAAAGAGGTGGAAAAAAACTGCTTGGCTGGCAGAAAAGTAGGCAACACAAACTCTGAAAGGACATCCCAACTCACACACAATCGTCCTCCCACCAACCACACATGCTCCATCCACTTGGTTCAGCCGGTGCATGTTCAAGGTTCAGCCTTGGGGGAATCAAACCAACAACAATACAAGTCTAACGGGGCTGGCTTGCAGCACCGACCACATCAAAGCAACTGACACCACGGACAATCATCACCTCACCTGGCTGCATGCAGACCACTCACACCAGTTGCAGAAGCAGGTAAAGTTAATTTGTCTTTCTTTAGTAATAAATCTGTTTGAGAGAGGAGGAGTGAAAGGCTTTGACAAGGCAGGGTGCATGTATTTTTACCTTTGATGTGGTGCACCTTGCCAGCCTCTGTTTCAGAACTTACAGGTAGAAGTGGTAAAGTAACATTGCAAATGAAAGAGGGCTTTGAAATGTTTTCTGTAAATTTCTCAGTTGTTGTATGCAGTTTTGTCTGTATTTTTATTTTATGAATTATGGTGCTTAATATCAGGATCAAGACAGGTTGATAGACACCTTTGTACTCAACCAATTTACTGTTTTACAATCAAGCTAACACTTGGCAATGAATGAACTCAGTAAAAAACAACTGTGGCTGTTTTAAGTTTGCAAATGATACACATCTTTGGAAAGTAACTTTTAGTGCCAAATCTATTTTTTTCCACATAATAATTATCCATAAACACAGTTAGATTCTCAGCTCTGAATGCAGTAAGCCATGCAAACTCTTCCAAATGTTTCAAAGTCATGAAGTGGATTTCAGCAAAGCCATCAACTGGAACTGATCCCTTAAAACCCATGCAGTGCATATACAACCCGTTGTGTAATTAACATAGCTGGCTCAGACACAAAGCCCCTGGCAGGAAATTAGCATTATCATATTCCTCTGCATGTGTTTCTCCTTAGTCTGTCAGGCAGATTGTAGACAACATTTGTTTTCAGTAATATATGTTCCATTTTGCAGAGATCTGTGAAGCCCTGACTCACCATTTTCAACAGTTGGGATAATTGTAAATCTTGTCACACATTATAAATGACTATTGTGTTGTAATGAGAATGGAAAGGTACCCCATCTGTTATATGTCAACAACAATTTTTACTTAAATCAGAGCCAGTTCCAGTTCAATTAAATTAAAAATACAAAGAAGAGTAGCCATGGTTCGGTTCTTTACACATCGTTAACTATATTTTTAAACTTACATTTCTGACTCATGTTTCTGACACCCAGAATAAGGGTTTTCAGGAGCCTTTAAAAAGATAGACGTGTCTACCTTTGGTCTAATTGTTGGACAAAATCAGATGGACAATTTGACTGATTCTTGATTTTTACAAGGCTGCTGTTTGGCCATAGTAGTAGAAAGGCTGAGTGGAAGCACATTCTTAATGTAGAGGTTACAAGCTGATTGTCTCTTTGCTTAACAGACTGAGTTGCATGCCAAATAACTGTAAGGTTTCTTGCCTCTGCAGTCCGACAGCAAACTGTATCATTCTCAGAGACAGAATGTTTATCTTTTCTAATTTACTAAGACATAAAAAAGTCACTGTATGTAACTTTTACTTCAAGAACACAGATCAGGCATATCTGTAAATATCTAAAAATACTGTCATTAAAAGATCAAGGTAAGAGAACAGTATGCAAAGTAAAGAAGTCACTTAAGGCTAACCAGTCGACAAGCCAAGCTTTTTAGGATAAGTACAGTACAGTGATGCAAACATGTGTCCATTCATGTAGTTAGTAATTTGTCTTTGACGTACAGTCCCCATAAATGTCCTCAGGACTAATGCCTGGATGTGTAATTGATCATACAAGATTACAAACATGTGTGTAGAGGACTGATCACTGTTCACAAACGTACCCTGGCAAACACAGGAGGAGCTCTAATGGGATTGCATGGCTGATCATGGATAAGTGTTGCCCCTATCCTCACACAACTCAGCTGGGATTATCCTGTTGCATTCAAGCCTTTGCCGTCATCACTGGAAATTAGCGCAATCTCATACTGGCATGTTAAAAGGTCAGCTGACACTAGCTAGCTTCTACAAAAACAATTTGCCTGGCCAGCGTAAAATCCCCGCAAATTAAGCCTGACCTCCCTCCCAATAACACTGTTACATCTCATGTCTGCCGACAATGTTTTGTTCCAAGTAGAGTGCGTCATCTTGGTGCTGGTGCTTCAGCAGTAGAGCCCGAACAATGTGCATTTGCTTGTAACAATGTAACATGACGTACTAAACAAAATCCTCATAATTTACCATAAAACAGAAATCCACTAAGTATCTAATAGTCAATTTCACTTACTATACTGCACTTACTTTATTGGCATGACAACAACCTTGAGAATACCCTGTTTGCTCTATGCTGACTAAGAGCATCTTGCAGTTTCCGTAGATTTTTCAACTCAATATTAATTATCCCAAAAGTGTTTTGGAGTAAACTCAAGCCATTCAGAGTCAAGTCGTAGAACTATTCGAAATAGGTTAAACTGTGGCCATTAAGAGACCTGCGTGCCCAGAAAAACATTAAATAATGCTGTGGCATTAAAATTATGTATATATTTATTATCTGTCTATCTGTTTGAAACAAGGCATGGGGTGGTCCTCATATACATTTAGAACAAATCTGACCATGGCAACATCCGCCCACATTAAAATAGTATTGGATTATCATGTGTTTACAGTTTTGGTAGACAGACTTGATGGCGTTTTGCTGGATTCACTTAAAACTTAGGTGAGTTGTGCATTTGGAGACAATCATTTGTACTAAACAATTACACTGACCTGTATTTTTGTTTATCTGACATTCTCTGTTGTCTCCAAACACTGTAAGACTATAATTCGAATAAAGCAGATTAATGAATCTTGATTGCACCATGGACGCCAGCAGCCCAAAATTAGCACAAAGGTCGCCAAAGGACTCAAAGGGATTTGTGAGTGGAGTTAATAGAGATCAAACATGCCAACCAAGGGAGGAAGGTTTTAGATGTAGAAGTCAGCAAACAAAGAACAGGTAGGCTTGCATTAGCCTGTTTCTAAGTGGGCCATGTCAAGTACAGAAAAGGCTTAGCACACTATACACCACCATGGGATTATGACCTTTGATCCTGGGAGAATCTGATTGGCCACGAGAAGCTTTGGTGTCATCGTGAGTGACAGGCTGGCACACAGTGAATGAAAAGTCTAGTGGTACAAATACAGGCAAGTAAGCGGTACAGCCTCATCATTTGGGACTACGCTTACACTACAATAACTTGCTGAAGAAGGACATAGGCAAGAGGAAACTTACAGACTTCAAGGTAAGTTGAGTTTTTAGAAGACAAGGATACATCTGGGTAACAGGGTTGGTAGAAGTAGATGTGCAACTTTAGCAACTGGGTTTTATTTTTATGGAAGCATGGACCATGCTTTTATCATTCGCACCACACGTCGCACCGCAAAGCTGGGTCTAGAAGCTTTGACCCTTGTATACTGAGAAAGCAGGCGCACGTCTCTCAAAACAGGTGTGCCGGCTTTGTCTTTGAAGAGTGGCCATCCATGGAAAAGCATGGCCTACCCAAAATGAGTTCCAGACAAACGTGCATCAAGAATTTAAACAAGCACCAGATGGCGGCTGAGAGGAATCAAGTAGCACCATAAGAGATGGATAGAAGATGGTAGAGCTGACTTTAAATTTTGTTTGTTCAAAAAAGAAGAGATGTGTCTTTGCTCTTCTCTGTTACATAGAATATGTTGTATCCCAGCTTTTTCTTCTTTACTATTGTTAGGGGTTAGTCATCTTTAACACAGGGAAGAATTCAGTTCTCCTCAAGTGAATGTATGCAATGGTTGCATATGTGTTTATTTGCATGCATCATTGTATCAACTAAACCAAAGCAATTTGACTTAGAGATGTGTGGTGGGCTTAGCCATACATGTTGCAATTAAAGCCTGATGAGCAGTGTGCATTTTACAACTGACATACAAAGTCTTCAAAAGTCTTCAGGTTTGAGCTTTAGGGCTTTCCTAATGAAATTAAAGTTGACCTGGCTTTGCATCCTGCCTTTAGAGCTCATGTCATTGTCAGTCAAAGTAATGCTCTGGAAACAGCAGCTTACCTTGCTCCGTTGGCAGCAGCCATTGGAAATGAATGATAATGACATTAGTGGTAGAGTAGGCTACATACCTTGGTGGTGGCTAATTTGGACCAGAGTTTGGTTCTGTGTATTTGTGAACCCTTAGTCAGCTGATTTACTTGTAGGTGATTTATGGTATTTTAAGTGACTGAATGTTAGAGTTATGAAACAGAGACAGGTTCTCAAATGCAAAGAACTGTATCAGCTACAGTGTGGTCTTAATTCCTGGATGTCCCCAATCCTTTGCAAATTATAACACCTTACCTGATCCTCTTTAATCTCGGATGTCTAGAGCATTCAGATGCCTCATTGCCCTATATATCCATCCATTACACAGCTGTTTATAATATTGTTTTTTCTTCCTTTCCATCGTAGGTTTGGCAGCAAAATGGCACTTCTTCTTAGCCTTCTTTGCATCTTCTGCCTGGTTGGCCCAGTTCTCAACCAGGACATGCCTTATGAGGAATATATGGCCCAGATCCAAGCCTGCCCTAAAGAGTGTCACTGCCCCCCCAACTTCCCTCGCGCTGTCTACTGTGACAATAAAGGCTTGAAGAGCATCCCCAAAATCCCTCCACACACATGGTATCTCTACCTGCAGAACAATCTCATTGAAGTGCTGTCAGCAGATGCCCTGCGCAATGCCACATCGCTACGCTGGCTGAATCTAAACCGTAACAAAATCACTAGTGAGGGAGTGGAAGAAGGGGTCCTAAATGCGATGTCTCACCTTGCGCACCTCTACATGGATGACAACCTCTTGTCTTCTGTGCCATCTGCCCTGCCACCCAGCCTGGAGCATCTAAGTCTCTCTCGCAATCGCATCTCCAAGATCGCTGCCGGTGTCTTCAATGGTCTGGATAAGCTTAACCTCTTGGACCTCCAGGGGAACAAGCTGATGGATGATGCTGTGACTGAGGTGAGCCTGAAGGGCCTAAACAACCTCATACAGATCAATCTTGCCAAGAACCAACTGAGTAGCATGCCACTTGGCTTACCACCCACCACCACCCAGCTTTTCCTTGATGGTAACAACATTGAAAAAATCCCAGCCGGCTACTTCAAGGGTCTGCCAAAAGTGGCTTTTCTGAGGCTCAACCACAACAAACTTGGCAGCAATGGAGTTCCCAAAAATGTGTTTAATGTCTCCAGCATTTTGGACTTGCAGCTGTCCCACAACCAGCTGACTGAAGTTCCCCTCATCTCCTCAGGCCTTGAGCACCTTCACCTTGACCACAACAATATCAAAAGTAAGTCATATTCCCAAAGCACCTATTGCTTTTTTCTGATTACAATGACTCATTTGAGCTGTAGATTCATGAGTGTTTCTTTTATGCATCTATTGAATAGAATTGTTTTTCAGAGAAGGATTCTGTAATGATATTAGAAGTCTTATAACATTAAATCGCTTTGTGTATTTATAGGTGTAAGTGGCTCTAATGTCTGTCCTGTCGCTGTCGAGTCTGTGGACGATTCCATCAACGAAAGTGTTCCTCGTCTGCGCTACCTCAGACTGGATGGCAATGACATTAAGCCACCAATTCCCAGAGATGTCATTCTGTGCTTCCGTCTCCTGAGGTCTATTGTCATCTAAAAACAAAATCATCAGCTAAGGCTAATTTTAATTTCATACAATGGATGACTTGGTAATGTGGACACTTCTCTGTTAAATTAGATGTGATAGGAATCTATGCAACGAAACATGGTGACATGAGATTTGCATGTTTTTGAAACTCAAATATTTGATGCTAGTTGGCATCAAACTTGTTTTATTGCTGTGACTTAGGGAACAGGTAATTCCAGTTCTAAATAACATAGATTTTTAGTGTAATTCTAATCAAATTTTAAAAGAAAGTACAACATTGACAAGGAACTGGGTTAGAAGCTTTATTGAGGCTGCAATCTGTTGACCACTAGTTGTGCCTTATGTTGGTGTTAACATCTGCATGTACAATTCAGAATGAAAATCTGATTATAATTTAGTGATTTATACCGAGAGGACAATATGTATTAATGACAAGTGAAGATCTTTGAGGACTATTGTCATTATGCTTCTTCGAGCAGGAGGCAAAGCTTATCAAAGCGTAGGAAAATATCACTTTTAATTTGTTTCTATTGTTTCAGGAAAACCTTTGCTTTATACTTGTAGACTTGAAGCCAAATGAATGGTCTTGTGTCCTAGGTGTGGTTTTATTTCCTTTTTTAAATTACTCTATTCTACAAATATGCATATTTACTGTAGGTAATTTATTTTTATTTAATACTGGAGAAAATGAGTAGAAATCTGACAGTCCTGTGAACATTTATGGCCAATATTCCTTAATGTTTTGTATACAAAAGAAATGTGATAACTGTTTTTAAAAAATGCCAACACACTTTTTAATTCTGGTCATTATTTTTCTGAATGAACTGAGCAAGGGATTTCATTTGAATTGTCTTCAATTTGAATAAAACTTCTCAAAATGAACATTTGTTCTGTTGTTATTTTGTCTTTTTTTATAACTTTGAATGAATGTAATTTAAATGTAAATATTTGCCACAAATAATAATGATAATATTTGTGGTAGCCTACAATTTTCATTTGGCAAAAGATTTTGACACGTCAACTGCCTGCACACAGACTATTGATGTATGATGAAATTGCAAATGCATGGTGGTTCTGTGGATGTTGATGTAAAATAAAATACAAAATAATGAAGTGAACATACACTAGATCATCATCCACAAAATATATTTTAGTAGCCAACCAAACTCTAGAGTTTCATTAGATGAACTGTGCAGCTATGTCACAAATATTTAGTCTCTTAAATGACTTGTTCACACCCTCGTGAAGTATAAACATGGATGGATCAGTACTTCTTACTCAATCATTTCCTCTTCTCCCCAAGTATTTGAACGCTGCAGAAAGAACTGGGTTAAATGGCCAAAATACACAGATCAGCCATAACATTATGACCACCAGGGTGTCCAGGTGGTCATAACTGATCATACTGATCGGTGTATAATGGTCGGATGATCAGTTTTGAACATTAATGTTTAATGCATCAAAATGTATAGGGCTTCTTCTGCAAGACAGTTAAAATAAGCAATGCAGGGTTTAGTGGCAGATTGCAGTTGCAGATTGAAACCATTTAAGTACAGCTCAGCCTTCCAAGCGTGTAGGAGAAACTATGGTGGCTGAGAAAATCACAAAAAAAAACATGGCTATGGTGTAGAAGAGGACCGGCGCCCTCTGTAGATAAAAACGGCTCATTCTAAGGTAACGAAAACACAACGATGAATATTTTCAGGTAATTATAAACTAATGAAAAAATGTCTATGAATATTATATTCAATTTATGCCAGTAGATCCTCCTAAATGTTACACACTGAGCATTAAGCAATTATAGCATTAATAACTCAATATTCACAGACATTTTCCATTATATCACACAAAACCAAAATTCTAATTGATATAATTTATTTGATATATGCCCAGCCTTAGCTCCAGAATTAACACTCAAACATAATGTGTGTCTGCTGGCATAAAAATTAGATCTCACTGTCTTATTATATGAATGCTTCTACAGAGTGGACCCAGTCAGGACTTCTCAGGTTCTTTACAATTCACTCTGTCATATACTTTGCACATCAATCATTGTGTCAAGATATTTTGGGAAAAATTTCATAGAGTTCTTTGCCTTTTGAAAATGTTTGGCAGAAGAAAAGCCCTGAATATAAATCCCATCTTATATGGCAGGTGCAGAAGGATGTCTGGCATTCCCACTACGTCCTTTTCCCCTCACTCATCAAAACGTCTAGAGTTACCATGGGAGTGAGAGAAACGTGGGCAGGTTGAGACAAAACCATAGCCAAATAAAACGGACAGAGTGAAGCTACCCGGTGGCATCCTGTGTGTATCCTCTTTTTGGTTTAAACAATCGACACTGAAGACAGTCTATGAGTGCATGTAGAATCTTTTTGAATGTTCACCCACATCGGTACAGAACATCGGTAAGAGACTAACAAACCCCCCACACACACATACTCATTCTCAGTCAAGTGAGACTGTTATGGTATCCCACAACTGAACTCGAAACGTTTAGCAAGGTGCAAAGAGAAAGCAGCTTCAACCAAAAGAGAGGGCAGAGGCCTTCCCCCAAGCAGGGACTTCCTCTCAGCACCATGCTAACAGGGGCTCCTCACAGAGGTCCCATTGTGTACAAGGGCCCTGTGGATCCCCCCCATACATGAAAGCAACACATGCCAGAGTTTCACCTCAGGAAAAGGCGGACAAATATTTCAGTCTGATTGAGCCACACTCTTAGAAAAATAAAGGATACTCTTGTAAGGGATAAAAAGGTATTTTGCCATTGGGGGGCCTTTGCTCTCTCTTTCTCTGTGTGTCTGCTGTCTCTATGTGTGTGTGTAGTGTTTGAGGGAGTTGTGCATGTGTGTGTACGGTGTGGGGTGGGTGCACACTGAGTGACCAAAAGCAATCTGCTCTGGTCCAATCAGTCTCAGTGCCTACCTTCACACATAAGCGGCAGGGCACTCAGGTCTGCGAGAGCGCACAGACCTACACATACACACACCTGCACACTTGTCACATTCACACACACACCTTTCACACACTTAACACACCCACCCTCCCTCGTCAAGGCACCCTGCGCGACCTCTCACCATTGGCCAAGTCCCGGAGCCCTCAGCATCTCCATCACGGCTGAAGGGACCATTCGGGAAAGCAGGAGACAGAGGTAAGCGTTCTTGGTGCTATCTATCATGCTGGCTCAATGGCTCTCTGGTGCAGGGCATAGGCAGGCAGGCAGGGTGGCTCCACTTGCCCCTCCAAAAACACTGCTATTCAGGGTTTGCATAGGAGTTCATTGGTTGGCGGGGCAGCTGCTTTATTTTCACTCAGGGATTTGCTTCGGGAGCTTTGCAGATGACTGAAATGTATATGTCTTTGTTGTCCTTTGGCAGTCTTAGTGGTTTTGATATGTTGGCTGGCAGTTTTTTAAGCTTCAGTAGTTCAATCAGTGTTCGACAGGTGTTTTTTGGAGTAGTGACAACCTTGCTGATACTGAGTTATTTTGCAGTTTTGACAACCGCAGCATTGTTTTCTTCTGATGCAATATCTAATCAAGCAAGACAAAATTTTACTCTAGATAGTTAGAGTCTAGAGGCTTTGACTTTTTTAACCAATATTGCAAAAGTTATCTCTTTCCAATTTCAGAAACTGGGAGGAGAATCTTATTTCTGTTGATATAATTCCTAAACATTTTCTCTCTGAACAGAATTATGTGCATGTATTACTTTTGCCACCTGCTTGATTGAAGTTTTTTTGGTGTTTTTTTTTGTCATATAAATATGCAAGTTACCAATTTGTTCTGCAAGCCATATTAAAGGGACGTCTGTCAACTTTGTTTATGGCTTTTGAGGAAGAAAGGTAGAATCACTGGATATCAGGAATGCCCAACGCGGAGCCAAGCATAACAAGGAGGTAGTCTAGAGGCTGCACTCATACACACATACACAGTTTCCACACACTGTACACTGTGATGGCCTGTATAAAAGCACACCTCTGTCTTTAGTATAGTCCCTCTTTCAGTGTAACCATGCTGGATTTCATAGCCTCATGACAGAAAGTATATTTCACTGGGGATGCAAACCAGTCACCTTTTCTCAATAGGGTGCACTCATGTTGGAGATTTCCAAGAGACTATGACTGGATTGATTTGCATAAAAAGTCTATCCCTCTGATATCAACAAAGATTAGATTCATGATTTAAATAACCTGTGAACATGTTTTTTTGTTTTATATCTGTCCTCATCCCAAAAATAGCAGCAGAGGTTTCTCAATTTTCTCTCTGAAAGATAGGTGTGTTGAGACAGAGTGTGCATCTGTGAGAGGTTGTGTCTTTTTCAACGTGTGTGCGTGAATGTCTGTCTGTGTGTGTGTGTGTGTGTCTGTGTGTATGTGTGTGTGTGTTTGAGCAAGCTCACTGCTGAATAAAGCTTTTCCTTGCAGCCGTAACTCACTGCCATCCTGTCCACAAACCTCGGAGGAATTTGGAGTTTGAGTGCTGAGACAGGCAGCGACTGGGCCTCATAAAGACCCTCTGTAAAGGGTGAGGGGTCGAGTTAGCTTAGAAACCTGTCTCTCTCTTTCTCTCTCTCTCTGTTGCTCTCTCCCACTCAGTCTTTTCCTCACTCTCTCCATCTAACCCTGAGGGCCAACATCTTGTCCACGTCTCTCTCTATCTCAGTCTTTTCTTCTCTTCTTCCCTTCCCTTGCTCTCCATTTCTCTGCCCCGGCCTAGAGGACTCTCTTTCAACACTTCTGCCTTTTCTTGGACTTGACATCTTCAATATCAGGCCAGCTGATATGTGGCTACACTTGTTATTAGTGCGCTATGAAATTCTCAACTGACTGATGATTGATTTCTAAGCTGAGTGTCAATTGTGTGATAATTAAACTGTAATTAACATATGCTAATCTGACTAACTCTTCCCGCTGGGGATTCATATGTATGAACTTAATCAACCTCACTAAGCTTAGCAGATCTGTGCTGCAAAGTAAATGAACAAGATTATGAACATCAGCTATCTGGGTCAGGGCAGTACATAGTGGATAAACTGAAAATCATACATGCTAATTTTAGATTCAAGTAGAAAAAGGGACCCTCTTGTCTGCGCCCTCATTTCAAGTTTTTTGCCAAGAATTTTCTGCCAAAGCCTTTTTGGTGTGATTGAGAAAAAATAATTGAAGCCATGGCCAACAACACAGTAATTTATTTGCAGCTTTAATAGTGTTTTATTGGAAAAGAAGCAAACTAAAACCCATCTCCTTTAAATACATTTAAAAGATTTCTTAGAGGTCTTTGGCCCCCGCAGACTGAAGAAAATGTAACCATGATTCCTTATCAGATCAACTTTGACTTTTGACCTTTGACACACCACAGGTGAGCACTGATTCTAGCCAACATGGCTACTCCCTGGAACAGTGATCCTCTGGCTACAATGAGGCAAGGGGCCTCATATTTCAATCCCTCGAGCTGTCTGCACCTCAGTAATGAATTCACTGACCTTAGTGGTGTGACCCAATGTCAGGCCCTGGTCTGTAGTACTGTAGATTATGCAGCTGATATCATGAAGACATGCCCTGTTGAAGTGCACCTACGTGGATCTGAATACATAGCTTAATATACAGCATATCTGAGTTCCTTAAAGTTTGCCACGTTTGCATTTCTAGAAGCAAATGTGTATCAATTTAGCATTTTGCTAGTTACAGTGGCAAAATGGCAATAAATAATAGATTGAACAAGGGCAAACTTATGTGGTGAGAGTTTAATTTCCATGCAATGTCCTCTACTGCATCTACAGTTGTAAATCTTTGAATGGATTTTCCCCCTTTGAATTTACATCTATCTGTCCATGTTAAGGTGGAATATGAGGATGCTCGTGCGGCTCGTGTTGGGACTCATCGTCCTCAAAGCTGTGGTGGCCAGCCCCAGATTTTCCCGCCAAGTGGACTTGGACACATACGACAGTGCCAACTATGATGTGGATCTAGACAATGTAAATTTGGAGAACCAGGATATCTATGACTACGAAGATGGGCTAACAATTGATGATCCTCAGGTAAGAAACTGTGTCAGTCAGTAAGGACAAGAGAAACTGTTTGGCCAAAACATTGAAATACCTTGGCCTTTAAATGTTCCAATGGTCATTACTAAGAAGAAAAAAAAATCAAATCACTTTAGTTATTCATAATTTGTGTTTGGTCACCTATAATTGGCAGTTAGCAAGTAAATAAATCTGGTAATGGCATGTTGCTATTTTAGCTTCTTATGAGAAAATTAGTAGACTCTATATGATACCTTGATTACATAACAAATATATTTTCATCAGTTTAATAGTTTGACATGGTCTGTTTTATGCTGTACACTACAGAATGTATTGCTGAAGGGCATTTTAAACACACAGGTCCTCTTGTCAGAGTGTAATGTTTATGTCACCCTTGTGAAATTGAGTGTTCGCTCGAAAATGTATGGAAACAGACAGTAAATATAAATTATATCACATCAACATGATCTACAACTCACATTGTAAAACATGCAGGCTGTTACAATTCTCAGAAGTCCCAGTCAGATTGCACAAATCACAGCGGTAACTGTGTAATATTGGTAAACTGGCTGGTTTTAGGTCAGCAGGTTCATGGAGCTGACAGACATCCCGCTGATACCAACTGCGGCCATTTGGAAAATAGATGAACTGCTTCCCAGTTTTACGCACTGTTGTGGCCAAAATATTTCACTTTTGGCCATCCACCATTTAAGTTACATGCCCTAGCATTTCCACAGGCTGAATTATTCTGCTTATGGAGTAGTTTTTATGCGTAGAATCAAACAATATTTATGCTCCAATGTTGGACATAACTTTTATTTGCCTGCAGAACTTGAGGAATGAACAACTTTTGATCACACAGCAACTGAACATTTAGATTTTTTTTCTTTTGATGTGCAGATTGCAGATGTGGCAGTAAGGTTCAAAGGAAAAATACAGGAAACACAGATACACATCATTATCTGCATGTATCATTTTCCCACACTGAATATAACATATACTCTCTTTTTAAAAGATGCTATGGAATCATTTATTTATGAGTGCAACCTGCTGTTACTTGTTACTCAAAATATGTTAAACAGAGTGAAAAATCTGTTGTAAAGTCAGCAAAAGTCAAGGGCTGCTGTGCCTTCTGGGCCTTCTTTCTTTTCTCATTCTACTCAAATTCTGCTAAGTACAATAGCCTTTAAAGATGAGTGGAGGACAGGGGCAGAAAGGGTTACAAACTGGATGATGGATTCCAGAAGATCCTTTAAATCAGCTCAAGTTGAGTGTGATGTGGCAAGCCTGCAGGGCACGCTGGGAAGGCAAGCTTTAGCCAAATTTCATGTTCCCGTTTATACCTCTTTGTAACAAGGAAATCAAGCCAAGGCAATGTCAAGATGGCACGAGGCAAATCGTCCACATTGGATTTTCAACAGGCTTCTTCTATGCCAGCAATTTAAGTTAAACCTGATGTGGACTGCACTCACACCACTGCTGTTATCTAAGCCCAATCCCACAATTAAATGCAGATTTAGCAGATCGGACAAGATGTAGAAAAAGAAACATAAAGGGGTAAATTATTTTATCATCCACCGAGGCAAAAAGGTACAACCACAGCCCTCTGCCTGAATTTAAAATGATTTAATACTGGTGTGCAAAGCTTGCATAGCTGGGCGTTACACTGGTGCTCAATGTGGGAAAGTTGTAATGTGTTGCAGGCAAATGGCTTTGATAATGTCTCTGTGTTTAACAAGCCTGGATATGACACAGCAGCACATTTCATGAAATTTTGTGGGAGTGTGTGGGAGGAGGAAGAGGAGAAACAGAACAATTAGAGTTAAAAGAATCTTTCTCATCCGGAGTCAACACAAACGTTTGATTTGCAGCACTGAATGTTGAGAAATAGCATACTGAAAGGATCTGTCATTTTGCTCTGTTGACAGCACAGTTAAAGGTGAGAGGGCAGATCCTCAGTATGGTTGTTTAAGAAGAGTGAGGATTAAATGGATTTTATTCACCCACACATCAGATGTCAGGGGAGAAATGAAGCGATGATGAGCTCCATGCCTCTGGAATGCTGACTCTTTACTTTCCACATCCATCTGTTGGTATTTCTTCTCTTTCTCCTCAGGGCTTGTCTCTTTTGAAAGAAGTAAAGGCTCATCTTCAATGTTATCCGAGCAAATCGTCTTCAGTCTGCTGCATTCAAAAGTCTCTGCAAATGCTTTAATCACCAATTTTAGATTCATTTAGGCATCTCCTTAGATTGACCAAGACATTCAATCTTTAGTCAGTCTTTCATCATTTTGTCTCCAGTTGATCATATTTAGAAACAAGTTTGTATAATTAATTGTAGCTGTTAATTGGAATTCATAACTCTATTCCTACAAGGGCTTGACAAAATATTATTTTCATCTGTACAATATATATTGCAATGCAGTTGTTTAGACTGTGTCAAAGAAATTACCCCAGGTATGACACTCTAAAGTAATTTCTGCAGTTGTATTATGAGAAGATCGGTACCTCTAAAATGTTTGTGTGTTAATGTGAAACTACAGCCAGCAGCCAGTTAGCTTATCTTAGCATAAAGACTGAAAGCAGGGGGAAACAGCTAGCCTGGCAATGTCCAAAGGTAACAAAATCCACCTACCAGCACCTCTAAAGCTTACTTACTAATTAACACGATGTAGTTGGTTTAATCTGTATTAGATCAAAGTGTAAAAATGAAAATGTTGTGGTTTAACACACAGAACGTTCCTTGGAGTCTTGCAGTCACTGTGAGGTTTCCAGGCAGCCGGCACAGACTCAGGGAAGTTAATAGACAGACTTGAACATTATCAATCTTCTCATCTAACTCCCACCAAAAAAACAAGCAAGTGTATTTCCTAAAACGTTGAGCTATTCCTTTCAGCTAAAAGTGTAGAGTTTCTGTTGGCACACGCTCTGAGCTGGAGAGCCTTATAAATGTGGCTCAGAATTGGCCACATGGTGTTTCATTACTTTATATGACTTTATATGAATTAATTGTGATGTTCCAGTGCTTCTCATTTCTTTGTGGTAGTCGATACTTTAGCAAATCATTCAGTCATTCTGTTTGCTGTAAGAGACACAGCTGGTGAAACAGTCAGGATTTTTTTGTCTCTGTAATAGAACCTCTTAAAATTATTTTTGCATTTTGTGGCTGAAAATTCACTTACCTTGCTGAATGCATCTACTGATTGACATACTCTATACTACAGCAGCAACACAACATTTGGCATTGGCTTGATGCTCACATTGAACGTCTCTGCCTGTGCATTCTGTATTCCCATGCTGTTTCCAGAGCTTTTTTTCAGTATTTTTGGTTGCCAGCCTTTCGCCTCTTCTTTCCCCCCGGGTGTATATGTTTGCTTTGGGGAAAGGGGGAAATGAAGGGGAGAGCTGCAGCGAGCTAACACTGTGCAAGACTTTTCAATGGCCTACCTTGTTGTATCACAAACTGTGTTCCTGCCAAGCTTTAAAATGTGACTTTCAGTGCTGGACATCTTTTCATTGCTGCATTTAATGTCTCTGCATGATTTTTAGTCGTATTTCTTATAAGGACTGTACTTAGTTTGACTTGCATGATTGTACTGATATACATTTATTTTTGAGACTTCTTGGCTTACTGACATCTGATTACTGTGGCTGAAAGTAGATGAAAAGACTAAATTATGGATTCTTGCAGCTACCATGTGAGTCTTGGTTCCACAAGGACCATTCCCTTTTTGGAAGGTTGAGTCAGCCTTGTTGGGCGTGAGAGAGTGTCAGGTATTACCTGTGGTGGTGTGTGGAGGTTCATTGCCCTCGTCTGGAGAATTATAGAACTGCAGGTTTCAGCAAACAAAAAAACATCAAAGAGCAACAGCAGTGACTGTAAATGCAATTATAATACCAGATGGATATACCTGAAGCTTTTAATGAAGGAACCCAAATCAACTGTAATTCATAAAGCTTGGGTGGTTTGGCAGGGTCTTTTAATTTATTTCCCAACATAACATAAATGCTGGCCAACTTGATAAATGCCAAGACTTTACTGTTTGTAAAGTAATTTGATATTTTAGGATGAGGTAGAAAAAATACATTAACATGGTTGTGCATTCAGTCCTTGGATGTACCCTATGTAGTTTTTTCTAGTACTTAAGTTTATCAAAGAACATCCTAACTGACTACAACCAGAATGAACACAGTGCCCAATGTGTTGAAGTATATATGTAAAATGTTTAAGTTTATAACCAAGGACATGTAAATAAGAGTTTAATTATGTCCCTGCTAGATTTGTCTTTTTCTCTGTGTCCTTTCAGTGAGGATGCATCTGAGTGGTTTTCGCTGTCTCTACTGTGGATACTTATTTTGGGATATGTTGCTGCCATCTAGTTGTAGAAATAATGGCGCTGCAGATCTTCCAATGGTTCTTGTTTTGGTCCTTGATTTACAGTGACATAACCATCAGCTCTGAACACGTCTCCTGTTGTTTGATTTCTTTTGACTGGTTTGAATAGAATAAAGTTCACAGAGATAGAGAAAAAGAAAGATCTGATAGGTGATGAGATGAACTAAAGCGGCCAGAATCTGACACCTACATTTCACCTGACATTAACCAGTGGATCACCTTCCTGTGAATGGAAATTAATAAAAGAGAAAGCTATCAATGACTAATGCTAAACATTTTTTGCCAGCATTGTATCAATCAATCCATCTTCCATTTTCTTAACAACCATTTTGGAAAATGTAAATATTTTTGGGGCCGCTGTGGCTCAAGAGGTCATTTACTAATCAGAAGGTTGGCAGTTGATCCCAGGGCTCCTCCTGCTGCATGTTGACTTGTCCTTAGGCAAGACGCTGAACCCCAATTTGCTTTGTCATCTGTCTGTATGAATGGTTATACCTGTGTGAATGGGTGAATGTGACATTTAGTGTCAGAAGACTAACAAGGTGCTATATAAGTACAGTCCATTCACCATGGCCTAAATGACATGATAACAATGCCAAATTAATACACATCATTCTGTATTTGTGCTATGATGATCACAGAGATCATAGATTATTTTTAGCACCACATCACTTCTTATAATACATGTAGAGAGAATGGTTGAAAGTTATATCAATATTTTTGCTGAGGATGGACTATATAGCAAATGGTATATCAAGGGACACTGTTGCTGGTATAGTATGAATAAGCCAGAATCCAGCCGTAGTGAATTTAATGTAGGTCAGACCCCAATAATTAAGGT